TCACCGAGCCTGACCTTAATCTTTTTTTTTTTTTTTTAACTTTTCTCTCGTTTAGATAAGAAAGGAGGTATTCGAACTTCTGGAAATGGGAGTGCTCAGTCTGTGCAAGTCAGAATCTTTGAAACTGGGCCTTTTTTAAGTCTGGATCCTAATGAAGATCCCAGCTTCCACAGTAGAAGTTGCATCTTATTTAATGACTCTGATACATTGCGAGAACCCAGTAAATAGCAGCAAATAGTTTAAGTGTGTCAGCAGATGGATCACTGGAATGAGGGGATTTCTGAAACAGAAATGAATCTGTCCTTTTGACAACTCTCTTATATAATAAAATATCACTGGCTTGTGTGTGATTTTTGTTGAGCCGGCTGATTTTTTTTCTCTCCCCAACTGGCTTCTGATGTAACTGTGCAGGAGAAAGGGAAGAGCAGCTGTGTAACCTTAGGCAAGCCCTTACCTCTTGAGGCCCATCTCATCAGCTCAAAGTGGGAATGTCTCATACAGCATTGTTGAGGACTCCAAGAGATGGTAAATGGGGAACAGATTTGTAAACTGAGGCATGGTCCCAGCAAAAGGGGTGGCAGATATATTAATCCATTCTCACATTGCTATAAAGAACTACCTGAGACTGGGTAGTTTATAAAGAAAAGAGGTTTAGGCTGGGTACAGTGGCTCATGCCTGAAATACCAGCACTTTGGCAGGCCGAGGAAGGTGGATCACGAGTTCAGGAGTTCGAGACCAGCCTGGCCAAATGGTTAAACCCCATTTCTACTAAAAATACAAAAATTAGCTGGGCATGGTGGTGGGTGGCTGTAATCCCAGCTATTTGGGAGACTGAGGCAGGAGAATAGCTTCAACCCAGGAGGCAGAAGTTGAAGTGAGTCGTACTCCAGCCTGGGTGAAAAGAGTGAAATTCTGTCTCATAAAAAAGGTGGGCAGGGGAGTTGTTAATTGACTCACAGTTTCACAGGCTGTATATTGGGCATGGCTGGGAGGCCTCAGGAAACTTACTACAGCAGAAGGTGAAGGGGAAGCAAGTACATCTTCACATGGTGATGAGACAGCAAGATAGCAAAGGGGAAATGCTATACACTTTTAAACTACTAGATCTTGAGAGAACTCACTCCCTGTCCTGAGAACAACAAAGGGGAAATCTTTCCCCATGATCCAATCACCTCCCACCAGGTCCCTCCCCCAACATTGGGAATTGCAATTCAACATGAGATTTGTGTGGAGACACAGAGCCAAACCATGTCATTCCACCCCTGACCCCTCCCAAACCTCATGTCCTTTTCACATTTCAAAACACAATCATGCTTTCCCAACAGTCCCCCAAAGTCTTAACTCATTCCAGCATTATCTCAAAAGTCCAAGTCCAAAGTCTCATCTCAGACAAGGCAAGTCCCTTCCACCTATGAGCCTGTAAAATCAAAAACAAGTTACTTCCAAGATACAATGGAGGTAACAGGCATTGCATAAATTCTCCCTTTCAAAGTGAGAGAAACTGGCCCAAACAAAGAAGCTACATGCCCCAAGCAAGTTCGAAACCCATCAGGGCACTCATTAAATCTTAAAGCTCCAAAATGATCTTTGACTCCATGTCTCACATCCAGGCCATGCTGATGCAAGGAGTGGGCTCCCAACATCTTGGGCAACTCTGCCTCTGTGGCTCTGCAGGGTACAGTCCCCATGGTTGCTTTCGTAGGCTGGTGTTGAGTGCCTGCAGTATATCCAGGTACACTGTGTAAGCTGTCGATGGATCTACCTACCATTCTGGGGTTTAGAGGACAGTGGCCCTCTTCTTACAGCTCCACTAGGCAGTACCCCAGTGGAGACTCTGTAGATGGGGGGTCCAACAGGAAATACTGAGTATTTCTCCACATTTCCTCTCAGTATTTCTCCACATTTTCTCTCTGCACTGCCCCTTAGAGGTAGAGGTTCTCCATGAGGGCTCACCCCTGTAGCAAACTTCTGCCTGGACATCCAGGCATTTTTATATATCCTCTGAAATTGAGGCAGAGGCTCCTAAACCTCAACTCTTGCATTATGCACACCCATAAGCCCAACAACACATGGAAGCTGCCAAGGCGTGGGGCTTGAACCCCAATGAAGCAATTATTTGAGCTGTACCTTGGGCCCTTTTAGCCACAGCTGAAGCTGGAGCAGCTGGGAAGTAGGGTGTTATGTCCCAAGTCTGCACAGAGTAGCTGGGTCCCGGGCCTAGCCCACAAAACCATTTTTCCCTCCTAGGCCTCTGGGCCTGTCATGGTGGCACTGCCACAAAGGTCTCTAAAATGTCCTGGAGGCATTTTCTCCATTGTTTTGGCTATTAACATTTGGCTCCTCTTTACTTATGCAGATTTTTGCAGCTGGCTTGAATTTTTCTTCAGAAAATGGGTTTTTCTTTTCTACTACATGGTCAGGCTACAAATTTTCCAAACTTTTACGCTCTGCTTCACTTTTAAATATAAGTTCTCTGTGTTTGTGCAAATGAACATAGGCTTTTAGAAGCAGCCAGGCCATCTCTTGAACACTCTGCTGCTTAGAAATTTCTTCTGTCAGGGAAAATGTGGCACATATACACCATGGAATACTATGCAGCCATAAAAAATGATGAGTTTGTGTCCTTTGTAGGGACATGGATGAACCTGAAAACCATCATTCTCAGCAAACTGACACAGAACAGAAAATCAAACACTGCATGTTCTCGCTCATAGGTGGGTGTTGAACAATGAGAACACATGGACACAGGGAGAGGAGCAACACATACTGGGTTTTCTGGGGGGGAACTAGGGGAGGGACAGTGGGGGATGCGGAGTTGGGAGGGATAACATGGGGAGAAATGCCAGATATAGGTGATGGGGAGGAAGGCAGCAACCACATTGCCATGTATGTACCTATACAACAATCCTGCATGTTCTTCACATGTATCCGAAAACCTAAAGCACAATAAAATATATATATATGAGAAATTTATATATATATATATAAAGAAAGAAATTTTTTCTGTCAGATACCCTAAGCCATCTCTCCCAAGTTCAAAGTTACACACATCCCTAGAGCATGAGCACAATGCCACCAGTCTCTTTGCTAAAGCATAGCAAGAGCAACCTTTATGCCAGTTCCCAATAAGTTCCTCATCTCCATCTGAGACCACCTCAGCCTGGAGTTCATTATCCATATCACTGTCAGCATTTTGGTCAAAACCATTCAACAAGTCTCTAGGAAGTTCCAAACTTTCCCTCATCTTCCTGTCTTCTTCCCTCCAAACTATTCTGACTTCTGCCCATTACCCAGTTTTAAGGTTGCTTCCACATTTTTAGGTATCTTTTTAGCAATATCTCACTTCTCTGGTATCAATTTTGTGTATTCTTCCATTTTCACACTGCTATAAAGAACTACCTGAGACTGGGTAGTTTATAATGAAAAGAGGGTTAATTGACTTCCAGTTCCACAGCCTGTATAGAAAGATAGCTAGGGAGGCCTCAAGAAACTTACAATCATGGCAAAAGCTGAAAGGGAAACAAGCACATCTTCACATGGTGACAAGACAGTGAGAGAGTAAAGGGGAAGTGCTACACACTTTTAAACAACCAGATCTTGTGAGAAATCACTCACTATCATGAGAGTGGCAAGGGGGAAATCTGCCCCCATGATCCAATCACCTCCCACCAGGTCCCTCCCCCAACACTGGGAATTCCAATTCAACATGAGATTTGGGTGGGGACACAGAGCGAAACGATATCAGCAGGTTAGTGGAAAAAAGAGCATCAGGTGAATTTGGCACTTTGTAAATGTATGAAAGGACAACAATATAACTACAGCTGTCTTACTCATTTACTTTGTTTAAAACTTTCTATTTTGAAATTTCAGACTTTTTTTTTTAATGTGTAAACTACTTTATTTTTTTTCCCATTTATTTATTTTATTGCATTTTAGGTTTTGGGGTACACGTGAAGAACATGCAAAATTGTTGCATTAGGTACACACGTGGCAGTGTGATTTGCTGCCTTCCTCCCCATCACCTACATCTGGCATCTCTCCCCTTACTATCTCTCCCCAGCTCCCCACCCCCCACCATCCCTCCCCTA